CCAGGTACTGCTGTCTTGTTTTTTCCCCTCCCTCCCAGAGAATGACTAGAAACTTTCATCTCGATCAGTCTGCAAAGGTTGCTTAAGAAGTGTTGGAGAGACATCAGTCATCATCAGGGAGTGTTATCAATATAAGCCATGAGCCGAGCTGTTTTGGAAGACTTCTCTCGCTCTTTGTTGGCTGTTATTTGTTGTTGCTGCACTGAAGATCCAAGCCTGCATTTTGGATCCACTCGTGAAACATTTTTTCCCATTGCATTCTTCCTGCTGCATTCAGGCTCTTAGGAAGGTAACTGATCGTTTCTGTATTGCTGTGTTATTTGTACTGTTTAAGCAGTTATGCAATGGCAATACCATCTTGTCACGTCTTGGTAATCTTTTGAATATGAGATTGTGTTCCAAGGTTCACCAAAGCAAACACATTGGACAATTAATACAAGTTTTGTGTTCAGTCTGTTTTGTTGTTGTGGTGGTGGTTTATTTTCTACAGCTTGTGTTCAGTCTGTTTTGTTGTTGTGGTGTGTTGAATTACAGTAGTAGCACGATAATATTGTATGACTTCAATTAAAATAAAGCTATGCTGATGGCAGAGGAAATTCAGAAGATTGGTGCAGATGGTTGGTAGGGAGTAGCCTTCCACAGAACTGACTCGGCTCTGGTTCAAGCTGGCAGAGTGAACAATTCCTAGCTGTGTAGGGTTGTGAAGGGAGCACTGTTCATGGGAAAGTGGTGGTAGGGGTTAAAGTGCTTGATTTGTAAAGTATGTGTCCCATAGGTACCCTTCTGGCCTAAGTAATGTGCTGGCAAGTAAAGTGTCCTTGGCATAGATGATGCTAGAGTAACGGTAGACCAATAGCAAGCCATAGTTAAGTGTCTTGCAGCCAATCCAGTGCCAAGACCTTACCTTTTTTTTTTGATAATTTCTTTTTCCAGATCCATAACAACCTACCGTTGCCTGACAGTTGTTTTAAGATGACAGTAGGGCTGCCTCTTCCAACAGCCGCCGCGCTTCTCTCTCCTCTGCCCCCAGCCTCACATGTTTAACACCCCCCTTGAGCTTTACCAGCGATCGCAAGTCTGTGCGGTGGGCTGAAACCTACGCTGATGAGTACAGGAAATAATTATCTGTTTCTGTCCACTAACTGAAAAACTCTAGTGCTTCACACAATGGATAATGTGGGAACGTGGGGGTGGAAGAGCGAATTTTGCTTTAGGCGTTCGCATTGAGAACTTGGAACAAACGAGAGCAGTCACGAAACCGAAGCCGTGGAGTCATTGCATTTGGCTTGCTGGGTGCATCTTTGGTTTTATGATGGGTGTGTAAACAGAAGTAAACAACATTCTCCTCCATTTACTTCACCAGCGGGAAGTTCCTCAGGCAGCCGTTGTTCTGCTGCTTTTGTTTGGGTCATAAAACGGGAAGTGTCGCCTTCATATACTCTCCTTTTTTATTAAAATGTAGAAACCGGTTAATGTGGTTTTTTTGTTGAAGGAGATTTATCTCAACTGTCTGTTTCTATTCCTGGCTTTTATTGATGTGTATAAACCTGAATGGAAAAACTGAGAAAAAGCCAAACACCCAAACCAGCTTCCTTGCAGTCTTCCATCATGTTCTCATTTTTGAAATGGTAGTTCTGTCAAACATAAAACATAACCTTGTTTAAACAATGACCTATCTTTGCTCAAATGTACGTTTGTTTGGACTATTGTATGTTATTTCTGTTTTAGAGGACATTTATGTGCTGCCCCTTGCAACTATTTTCAGAATCACTGATCAAAATCACTGCAGTGGAATATGAGAAAACATTTATTTTTTAATGTGGAAACATAACTTGTAGAAAGAAGCAGCGTGCAATTGTAGTTGCAACTGGGCAGCCTCTCTGTTACAGCCGTGCGCTTGTGTCTAAACTTCAATGCCGTTCTGCTACGCAAAACTGCACGCTGTCTTGTGTTGTTCTCTTAGGCTGTGAAAACCATCTTGAAACTGAGAGGTAAAGTAGAGGTACTTTTACGGTCATGTAGGCATTCTTTCAGAAGGGTCTTCTGGGAGAATGGATGCTGCTCTGATACCTGGTAATCTTTCATTTTTCCTGAAGTTCAATTTTATAACTTTGGAAACCAGAAATCTGTTGAGCTATTAGCTACTCGGAAGCAAATTATATTCAGGTGACAAACCAGCTTGGGGCTGCAGGTGTGGATGGGCAGTTTGGCCATGTGAATGTCTATTTACTCCCCTTTATTGTCCCTCTTGACAGTAATCGTTGTACTGTTATCATAAAACACTAAGATGATGATCCTAGCTCTGACTTTTTGAAGAAGAATCTCAAAATGCATTTCTAATTAATGGGAAATAGAAGGGCTTGATAACAAGAATTTTTAAAGTTTTGTAATTCTGTAATAAGTGCTTTGTCTCATTTATAAAATGATGATTAAATAACCCAGAGCACTTTCAAGGGTGTGAATTGATGGGAAGAGCTCTTCACATTTGCTAATGTGGCTCCCATACTAAGTGATCTGAATGCTGTCTCTTTTGCTCCTAAGGCATATCTGTTGCTGTGAACTGGGAAAGTTGCACAAAAAATTGCTTTGTTTTCTGTTTCTCATTTGTTCTTTATGTAGGAACCTGTGGCATGATTATGTTTGGCAGGAGACATGAATGGGGAGAAGTCTACAAGGGATGTTCAGTCCTGCACAGTCTGTTTTGTACAGATAGACCTGCTGGAATTTGAAATCTTAGGCAGAACGAAATGTTGGCTTGAGGTTTCTATACGCTTTTCAGGTAGTGGAGTTTTCTGCTTTCTTAAATATGGGGATACTACAGAAGTGGCAGAACTTCCTACTGAGACAACTTTCATGAGCCATGCTGGGCTCTTCAGTTTCTGTTGTGGAAATACTGCAGCGGTTTTATCAAGGCCTTCTCCAAATCGGCAGACTTCGTAATAACAAACCTGTATCAGTGAAAGCAGGTGCTTTGACTAGCATGGCATTAACCTTACTCTGGAGCATGGCAACATGGCAGAGACCTGTTGGTTTTCTAGAATTTCCTGTGCTACTACAGTGACAGTGGTGAAATGTCAGGTGAGTTCCCAGAAGAGGTGGGTAGGGACCAGCTTCTCCTCTTAGCAATGATGTTTTCCAAAGCGATCTCAGTGCCACCATTGAACAATTTGGTGGAGTCTTTTGCGTGGGGGAAGGCTCTTGTTCCCTCCGTTGCTTTCTTCCTGCTGCTCTAGACCTGCTTTTGCTGTAGTGGTTGTGTGACTAGCCAATTCACACTGAGTAGATAGAAGATCAGATGAGGGAACGTCTGAAAACTTTGTAGGCATCTAGTTAACGTAAATGTTGAAGACGACATTGCTGTCCAAAACTTGAAGCTTTTTCTTTCTCATAGTTATGCTGTGTGGGAAGTTCCTTGGGTAATCTGGCATCTGTAAGTTCTCAAGGAGAAGCTGGAGAAGATCCCATTCCACAGTCCTTCCATTGACCAACCAGGGAAAAGGGGAAGAAATCTCTTGAAAGTCACCTTTACAATAGCCTCTAGACACCCAGTACACGTTCGTAATCAAATAATTGTGGACATGTTCTGTGGAATACATGGGCTGTGGTGTTTTTTTCTGTATTTCAGCCACTTATTTTATTAATTGCATTTTTTGTCCACGTAACGAAGAGGCTGTAAACTTCTCAGGGGCCTAGAGATCGTATGTTTTTGCATCCAAAACCAAAAACATGTTCAAAGGCTAATCGAGGAAACACTTTTCTTTTTTAGTCAGTTAACTATGCCAGTATGGATGAATAAGTGTAAAGTCTTTATTCTGAAGTGGAGATCTTTAAACTTGTCTGTATACTAACTTTCTCGGCTGTCAGCTATAATTATACCTGCGACTGTTAGAACATTTACACTCCAAAACACAGGGGGAGCTTAAGTGGATTTTTGGCATGTTCTTTCTTCCTGCCTTCTGACAGTGGTGGAAAGGAATATGTACCGAAATAGATGAATACAGGAAATGCGTAAGTGAGAACTGTTCATATTGGTACCTCCGGTATCTTGCTGCACATCTGACTTCTGATGATTTGCCTTTAATGGTTTCAGTTTAACTGGCTTTCTGAGATGAATTTCTTAAGGATGCTATAATTGCGAACTATGCTTTCAGACCCTAAATATAATGAAAGAATGACTGACAACGAAGAAGAACTTTGCAGACATGCTTAGTGTGGCACAGCGTGACTTGAATCGAAGTCTGGGAGAATGGGTGGGAGAACTCTGAACTGGTAAACTGACAGATTTTATTTCAGAGCAGGTAAGTTATTCACTTCTGCTCTTGGCCAGCGACGTTATACTCAATAATACACAGTAAAAAGTGTGGAGAAAAATTAGCCATTGGTAGCCAATAAAATTCATGCTTCTCAAAGACATCTCAAAACCTCCATGTTCTTAGTGGGCTTTTCAGCGACCCGAGACAACTAGTAAGAATGTCAGTGTCACATGTATAGAAGGAACTTCCAAAGAGTCCTGAGGGAATGCCTCTCTTATCTCTGTTCTCTCCAATTCGGTAATTTGTCTTTAATGACTGAACAAGTCCACACTTTGAAATGAAATAGCCTTTTTTTTTTTTTTGCTTTAAGAGAACATTTTTGGGACTGCACCTTGGTTGCAGTTTATAGTCTAGTCCCTGAAGGAAAGGTATTGCAGAAAATTCTCCTTGCAGCTGTGCCACTTCTGGCATTAAAAATGGAGACAGACAAATGAGGTGAAGGATGTGGCATCTTCCAGGGAATGGCTTGGGAAAATTCTCTCGAACTCTTTGTGCCCGTCTCTTCTGGGTAAATAGGTCTTAAGAGCTACCGTAATCTTGAATTTACTGAAGATAACCGTGAAGATTTTGTTTGTTTGTTTATAGCCTTTTAACAACAACTTGTTGGGAAGGGGCAAAGCCACTAGTATGGCAAAGATCTGTTGTTGTAAAGCATCTAGTCTGTGTATTACTGCTGTAGGATGGATGATGACGGGTAGTGTGTCTATTACTGAAAGTCTGAGTAGAAGTGAACATAGCGGCGTAAAACCTATCATCCCACTGCAAATTATGTTGTATTATTTGTGCCAGCAGTGACAAGAATGGGATTAAAAGCAATGCAACCGAGTGGTGCTTTTTTCCCTGCTTATCAGACAGAAATTTCAAGTCCTAAGGAAAAAAAACTTGGATCACGGCAGCCTCTCTCCAGGAGGCTTGGTGTACCTCTTTTGCAAGCCCTGGAGCTCTGGCTGAGACTTGGGAACTGCAGGGAGCCTTTTGCTCTGTTTTGCTCAGGGTGAGACGGCACTTGACCATGGAAGACCCTGAAGAAGCCTGCTAGTGTTTGAATGCAGCAATTACAGAGGTTAAAAGGCAGCCTGCCAGCCCTGTTGGAGCAGTATTTTTTGGTGAAGTGGAGGAAGTAGGAAGTCAGAAATACAGCGGAAAAATATTTGTAATACTTGACGAAGCATCTGAAACCTACATAATTAGAAACTCTTAAGATCCAGTAGAAACTCCAGCTGAAAATTTCCTGTCCTTTCTGTGCCTCCCAGCTGCAACTGAGCAGCCAGAAATGGGAGTAGTTTGTAGTCTGTGGTACTTCAGTGAGGGAAGGGAAAAAGTCATTGGTCTGTAAATGAACATTTATTGTAGAAAGTTTTTGTGTAGAAGCTGATACTGTTGCAGGGAGAGAATTGAAATAAACTGTTCTTTGCTCAAGGATATAGCAAAGGCTGCTACTTTGCTGATAAAAGACGACATGGCATTTGGTTTTTTAACCTGTCTGTGTTGCAGAACTATTTGGTTTGTGAAATTTAGCTATCCAGTAGGTCAGTGATGGTGGTATAGTCTGTATTTGCCTGAGCAATGTAATGAAGGCCCTCCTTTCTGCACTAGGAACATAAGCTGTTAGTCTTGCTTTTCAAAGTCCTCTGCTTCCTCCTTCTCTCCCTAGCTGTTGTCTCTTGCTCAGTCCCAAAGAAAAGATCAATTCCTGCCTCCCCCTGCGATAGCAAAGCCAGGCTGTGTTGCCTACTTGTTTTTCAAACAAGCATCTCTGTGTGTTCGCCCCATGTTGTCTCTCAGGCTTCAAAGCAACCCTCCAGAAATATCCACAAAGCTTTCTCCTTACTTCTTAAAGCCTTTACAACGGTATCCACAAACCCTTGAGGAGGGCTAATGCTTCTGAGGTGCTTTGGCTTTGAATATTAAACAAACTGTAATGTCATTTTGTTTCCTTATTCCTTCATTTCCGTATCTCCTTTCATGTACTTAACTTTATTTGGCAAAGACTGCTTTTTGCCCTGACCCAGAGCTGGTGCTTGTGGGGCCCTTCGATAATACGGATCACAAATAAGAGTTTGTGTGCGTATTTGGGACGACGTTTAAAGAAGTATTGCAGTAAGTGGGCCATTAAGTAATTACTGTATCTGTTTTGTCTTCCACAGAAGCCCCTTGTGCTACTCCACTGATCTGTAGCTTTGGAAGGCCGGTGGACCTGGAGAAGGATGACTACCAGAAGGTTATATGCAACAACGAGCATTGTCCGTACAGCACCTGGATGCACCTTCAGTGCTTCTACGAGTGGGAAAGCAGCATTCTCGTCCAGTTCAATTGCATTGGCAGAGCCAGGAGCTGGAACGAAAAGCAGTGTCGCCAAAACATGTGGACAAAGAAAGGATATGACCTGGCTTTTCGCTTTTGCTCCTGTCGGTGTGGGCAGGGTCATTTAAAGAAGGACACTGACTGGTACCAGGTGAAGCGAATGCAGGATGATAAGAAGAAAAAATCAGTGTTAGAGAAGAGCACGGGAAGGTCCACGTCAGAGTCAGCAGAGGAGGCCAAAAAGGGCAGGCCGACCAACAAGCCGCAGAAAGGCTTGAGTCATGACCTCCAGCGAAGGCACTCGATGGACAGGCAGAACTCCCAGGAGAAGGGCGTCATGGGCGGCAGCTACGCAGTTCGTTCGCCTTGTGTCTCTCCCGGCCAGTCCCCGCCCACCGGCTACTCTATTCTTGCCCCCACGCATTTCAGTGGCCCTCGTTCCTCGCGATACTTAGGAGAGTTTTTGAAGAACGCCATTCACCTGGAGCCCCATAAGAAGAACATGGCTGGTGGGGGCATGTTCAGGAACGCGCATTTTGATTACGGGGCAGCTGGTTTGCAAGCACATAGATCAGGACACTTCGATGCCCCTGTGCAGTTTCTGAGAAGGCTCGATCTATCTGAGCTGCTGACTCACATCCCCAGGCATAAATTGAATACTTTCCATGTGCGGATGGAAGACGATGCCCAGGTGGGCCAAGGGGAGGACCTTCGGAAGTTTATCCTTGCTGCTCTTAGTGCCAGCCACAGGAACGTTGTAAACTGTGCGCTATGCCACAGGGCGCTGCCAGTGTTTGAACAGTTTCCGCTGGTGGATGGGACCCTGTTCCTTAGCCCATCGAGACACGATGAGATTGAATATGATGTTCCCTGTCACCTTCAAGGTACAGGTTGTCTGTCAGTCATGCTAGGCTTCATTAAATGATGGAACTGCCTTCTGTGCCCTGCCCCTCCCATTTTAGATTTTCATCCCGATTCTGCATTTTTAAGCAGTTCTGTAAAACTTGAAGTCACGTCCAAATTATCACGTGGATCAGATTGAAACACTCAGGAAGGAATTACAAGGAGCAAATGCCGTGTAGAAAGATCCATGCCTTGTGTTTGGGTTTACAGTTAAGAGATTTCTCATCTGGTTTCTAGGTAGACCATGGGAAGGTTTTCCAGCCACTCTGTTCTGTAGCGTGTGCGTGCTGATTTATCTGTCGTGAGCTTTACTCCAAGACATACATCAACCTTTTCAACAACCTTTTAAATTTAAGCATGCTGTGCTGCAGCATGGGTGAAAGTTACATTTGTACCACTGGTGAGATGAGATGCCTCTCATCTGCTTTCAGACTAAAGAATATCAGTTTTGTTTTATAGCAAACTGTTTTTTTGTTATACGAAAAGGACTGTAGTCTGGCCTGCGTTAACACTGGCCTGGAGAGGTCGGACGTAGTACAAGCAAGCTTTTAATATGGTGGGTTGAAGCAGCAAGGGTGTAGATTTAGACTTCTTTCCAAACTCCCACCTGTTTGGGCTGCATCCTAATAATGTCCCAGCTCCAAGCTGAGTTGAGACCAAGGCGTGTATTATTTTTCTCCTCCTAGAGAAACAAATGGATGTGGGCTAGGATGAGCTTCAGCTCTTCCTGAAAGCTGTGTCCCAAACTAAGTGATCAGGGTGGTACATGGCAGCACACGCCTGTCCTGCAGCCTGCTGGCAGCCAGCATGGCTAAAATAAGTCAGAGAAAGTATTCATAGTTTGGTGTTCAAAAACAGAATTACATGCTGAAAAGTGTGTTGGGAAGGCTTTGACGAGAGGTATCTTAACATTTAAGTTTCTCTCCTTTCAATAAAATATGTTATATCCCATGCATGGTCATAATACGTGTTAATGTAACATTCCTTTGCTCAACAAACTTTGTGTTGTTTTTTTTTTTCTTTCCTTCAATCACTGCACTAAGTCACTAAACTGTAGTCATGCTAACATTATTGTTTCTGTCTTGCCTAATGTATTTTAAGGAGAAAAAGTGATAGGCAAATATAAGAGCTAAAAAAGCTCCAGGATAAACAGAATATACGTATGTGAGATAACAATGCTTATTTCTTTGGTGGGGAGGCATGCACAATGTGCTTGTGATTTTATCAGTACTAATAGCTGGTTTAGTAATAGTGAAACTTGTCACTTGTTAACATTTGCCACCAAGAATGAAACTCTGTGAAATTATTATTTTTTTTATAATTAATTGCTCCTTACCGATTGGACGATACATCTGAAAAACTTGCTCAGACGAGATAACATGAATAATTAATTGTTAAAATTCTTACTTCCTTGTCCTGGGTAAAATGGTTTGTTATCAGAAGTACTCTTTGAAATGGAAGTAAGCTTGCAAGGTGCTGTTCCAGGGTATTATTTTCTCTTCAGTACAGAAAATCACTTCTTTTATTTCAGGCATGTTTAAGATGTCAGGTGCCTCATTTCCTATATAACAAGGATCCTGAAAATTAAGCGGTGGGGAAATGCAGTATTATAATGTGTGGGAGCAGTGCAGAACTTCAGATGAGGAAAATTATTTTATCTTCCTGCACAACACAAAACTTCTGTGCGGGAAATTGTTTGAAATCTCAATCCAATCTCAAGTGTTCACTTCAGGAACAGAGTTTATTATATTTGCACTTCAGTCTCATCACATCACATTTTATACAACTGAACACGTCAATGTGGAATAACTCAATTTTTACCAGCTCATACTAGCAAGTTTATTTAGTATGTATATTTCAAGAAGAATCTGGCTTCTCTTCTCATTTTTCTAAAATAGTTGGCTTAAAAAACAAAACAAGTTAAAAACCAAACCATTAGTTTTAAAGTATCTGGTATGGACTAATCATAAATTGTTAATATTTTATTCCCTTTTAGCTAGAAAAGGTACGAGATGTGTGTCTTCTTTAAATTGCAGGTTGTGATGTGTTCAGTACTTGGATGCTAAAAAACACAAATTGCATTCCAAAATAAACACGTGTTATATGCAGTCCTGTTTTGTAGCTGATCTGTAACTGCAGTACTTCTTAACTTTGTCTTGTATAGCAGTGCAAAATACGGTATATTACAGAATTAGTACTCTCTGTCAGCCCACTTTTAATAGCCAACTATTAAATTACAAATGGATTCAATCACTACAAATCAGGAATAATCTAGATGCCAGCTCTTTGTAATTTGTGTGGGGCTTTTTGTTTTGTGTGAAATTTGCATCTCAGATTTTGCATTGGTGAGTTTAGTAACATTTATGTAGAGAAAATCCTTCATTTTCAAGTCTGGGCCGCTTGATTTTTTTGGAAGTCAATATAACTCAGGTTTTGAAAGTCATTGTGTGTACAGAGCCTAAGGTCATGATAGAGCTTGAAAGATTTATAGTTCTGAATGGCATGTTAAGATCTGTATGTGTAATATATAATGTTTTTAAATATACTTACTGTAAATGAATGGTCAGGAAAAAGTACATGAAAGAAAATTGCTCTTCTGGCTGTTGCCTTTTTCCGTGAGGAATATTAGGTCCTTAGTTCCCTCTTTGCTGGAAGATTTTGGCAAGTTGTTAAAGGAATCTGTACCCAGCTTGCTAATAAGCTTCAACACTTCTCCACTTCTTCTGTCAGGTGGGGATGAAGCTAGGGCACAATCCTCGTTTTGGAAACACTGCAGCTGATCACATAGCTTAACCTGGCATCTGTTCACTGAGCTTAAGCAACTCCTTTTATAAAATATTTTGCTAAGGTCTACCAGCAAACGGAGGAAGGGAGGGTGGGCAGGGTGATGACTAATCCCGGAGTTTTGCATCCCTGGAAAACAGCTTCAGTCAAGCCCTATGTATTTCCCATAGAGAAACATTTTTTACTTTATCATTCACCCTTTAAAAAAAAAAATAAGGTGTGATTTGTATCACTAAAGGGCAGATAATACATTGTGGGAAATGTCTGTTTTAATCTTCTGTTCTAGTCTCCTTAATAAGTGTCTTTCCTGTCCACAGGAAGGCTTATGCACCTCTATGCTGTTTGTGTAGACTGCTTAGAAGGGGTTCACAAAATTATCTGCATTAAGTGCAAGTCCCGATGGGATGGAAGCTGGCATCAGCTGGGAACTATGTATACCTACGATATTCTGGCAGCATCTCCCTGTTGTCAGGTTAGTACCGTATGTAAATAAGACTCATAAGGTGAAATTCCAAGTGATGATAAGTGAAGCCGAGGTTTGTGTTTCTCTTCTCCCTTCCCCTCTTTCATCCTTCTTTTCCAGCCTGTACCTATCAGTGCAATACAAGAAAGCTGACCGAGTCCCTGTCTCTGTCTTAACTTATGAGGCACAAAGGCCGATAGCTAGACAAAAACCAATGCAGTGGTCAGTGGTTATTACTTATTGTTTTTAAATAAAGCCCCTTTAAATGCATCCACAGTTAAATCTGATCCTTGGGATGGTCCCTAGCAAGTATCTTTGGCATCAGGTATAATTCCAGTAGTATTTTAATGACAGTTGCACATTTTGAGCAGATGTTTCATGTATTCAGGGTTCTCATAGTTGTTTGAATTGTGTTTTATCGTAAGACAATTGTAGCAAAAAAGCCAGGGGAACGGAAGGGTCTAAAGAGTCTTTGTGCTTGGAGATTACCCAGCTCTCCTTAATCTTTGCGGCGACTGACTCTGGTGATGGTACTCCACCACAGCCTGAAGCAGCTTAGTTTTCATTAAATGCTTGCCTAATCTATACCTTGGGTGAGAAAGATCCGAGGCCCGGGGTTACTGCCTGAGGTATGTGCCTGAGGCAGCAGCATCGTCAGCATCCAAGAGAATTGCCCATGCGATGGGCAGAGCACTTCTGTTGTGTAGGTAGGGGTAGAGAGCCATGGAAAAAGCAATTGTCTGGGAACGGCTCAGTGGTCCACTCGGGATGCTCAGGAGCAGGCTGTTGCCTTTGGACACGCAGGTTTTGTTACTGGGTGAGAACAGGACCCTCGCAGAGATGCAGTCATTCAAAGTATGATCACTTCATGGTATTGTGCATGCTTAAGAGGTTTGTCAATATGCGAAATGCCATTTTATTTTAAATTTAACATATATACCAAAATGTGTCAAAAGACTCTGGAGTTGCTGCTACTGGATAAAATGACATTGCTAACAATTATAATTAAAGACAGAGATATTGCCTCCAAATTTAGTGCCTCTTGAGATTGTAACTTTTTTTTAATAATAGGGACTTTTAAAGATAAAACACTGATGCTGACTTGCTAGCTCTGTAAAAGCCAGGAAATTTAAATCTGAATTGCTTCTGTTGAATATACAAGACAAGAATTAGGTCTCATTTTACAAGAGCCTTAATTATGTGATTAATGGACAGTGTGACAGTACATGGTAAGTAATAGAACTGACTATGAAATCATCAGCTGCAGTGACTGTGATTGCCAGATAATACGCATTATTGTTTCACCATGATTGTTACAGATGATTCGGTGCATACAGAGGAATGACATTTAAATATGATATATAATTTAACTCTGAATTGCCTTGCTAATTTCTATTTTGAATGATTTCATACCTTATTTCAAAATATTTAATTATACATCACAAATGTGCATGTTGGATAATGAACTGTAGCCACTGTCAGGTTACTGCAGATAGCTGATGTGCTGGACAGTAGCAAGGGGGAAACCAACACTTTGGTTAAGAAAATCATACAAATCCATGCCCTACTGGATTGCATTTCTTAGAATTTCTGTTTTTCAAGCAGAGCAGATGGCTGTGGAGCTGATGGTTTGTTTCTTTTTGAGTCTTGTCGCAACAGTAATAGTACTTTAATAATTTCTTCCTCTCCTCATCCCAGGAAAATTCCTTAAATCAAGATTGCCATAGAAAATAATTTTTTGTTCTTTTCAGTGGAGAGCTGAAGCTTTCGTTAGCATATTGGGCTGCGAGGTTAAGCTATGGTACAGCTCAGGCCCTCGCTGCTCATTTGCCACCTTTACTCTTAAACTCCTTTACGGTCTCAAATCTCTTCTGCTTCTCTTGAGTATTTCAAACGGCCTGCTGAGCTTTCACACCGCCTGTCGCTTTCTTTACATCAAATGGGCTGGGTTTCTCAGCTAGATGTCTTCTGAAGACTTACTTTTTTTTGTTACTGCTGAACATTAATAGCTCTGTCTGTCCTCACCCTTGACATTTAATTATTTCTCATATCCACCCCGTTAATGTTGGTCCTTTCTCAGTCGGATTTTGTAGAATAGTTTTTGTGCTTGAAGTGATGTTTAGTTTGTATAACCTGGTACGTATTATAAATGTTTAAATAGATACCTAAAGTGATGCAATACCATGCCATGCTGATATAGTAGATCGAGTTATACATTTCTTAAGCTGAAAGATTAAAATGCTGATATATTTCATAGACAGATCATGTTCAAACGTCAGCATAAACGGTTGAATTGCATGGTACAAATGTAAAATTTCTCTCTTCGCTTTGGGGCTTCATTAATGATTTATTGAGGCAGCACTTCTTGTTCTGGGGATTGAGGAATTGATTCAGAAATTAATCACAAAAGAATTGTGTGTGTACATAAACTTTGAAATTCTCCACCTCCTGTCAGTCAGAGTGGGAGGTAGCTTACTCACCAGAATTTGGCGGTGGTATTTCATGTGAAAAACATTGTGTATGCCTGCGAGTTACCAGTCCGGGTGAGGAATGCCCTTACCAGCAGATCCCATTGCTGCCACTTTCCTGACTTACCCCCTCTCCTGCCGAGGAGGGCAGGGCAGGGGGCTGCGTGCGATGCTCTCTTTTTCAGAGGCGAGAAGCGGAGGCGAGTTTGGTTATTTCAAAAGGGTTTTTTTGTTTGTTTCTTTGTTTTTACAGGCTCGACTGAACTGTAAGCACTGTGGGAAGCCAGTAATAGATGTACGGATTGGCATGCAGTATTTCTCTGAATACAGCAACGTCCAGCAGTGTCCTCACTGTGGAAATCTAGACTACCACTTCGTGAAGCCATTTTCTTCATTTAAAGTTTTGGAGGCTTATTGACGAAAGCTTTGCTTTAGTAATAGCTATTTTATGGGTATTTCAACTTTATTACATATCTTTTTATAGGATTCATTCTGTGATGAAATTTAATTTCTTTTCTAACTGAAAGAGCAGCTTCTTTGTCTGTGTACATATTAATATGTATATATATATACATGTTGTTAAACCCGGAATCCTCCTGACAAGATCTCTGTGAAGGTTGGAGGCAAGCCAATTCAATGGCCTTTGAATATATCCCGAGTGTGGGGTGGAGTTCAGCTGAAAATGATTTGGTTTTATTTTTTTTGTATAATTGTAATACAGTTTATAGGAAGGGTATGGGGAGACATACAGGACAGATAAATACGTCAGGTTGGAAAGTGGGTAATTGTGTAGGGTTGTTGCCCCTCCAGCTTGGTGGAAATGGGAAATCCTTGGAAAGAAACTGTCCTGTTACTGTTGAATTCAGCCTTTCGCATTGGTTCCCACGGGCGCAGGAGCTGGCCCCGTGCTGCCAGTTGCCTCAGCAGGCTTTCTTTCAGATTTCCCGAGACGGGGTAAACTAAGGTATTGTGACAAGTGAATGTAAATGTATGCCAGAAAATACAATCTTGAAATGAATTATTTTTTTTTTGGCATAGCGTCTTCCTGCCGTGTGCATTTGATGTGCGTTGCCCTCACTGACGGACCATACGGCAATAGTGCTGCTTCCACCAGGGCTGTCATGTGCCCAGCCGGGTCACCTGTTCATACCAAAACAAGCTGGAGATCTTAAAATGCTTTATTTAAAGGTGTTTCTTCACAGACATTTTAGGGAAGGAACAGGCTGAGCTGAATGGGGATGTGTTTGTATGTGTCTGCTAGGGCTGAGGCTTTGCTGCCTGCTGCGGACTGGTGTGACTGGTGTGGAAGGAGGACCATGAAGTGGGATCTGGGCCGTCAGACCTGTAAGAGCTGAGAGGTACTGAGTACAAAACATGGCGTTGCTTTTTAAAACAACTAATTGCTGCACCTTTGTCTTTCAAAATTGCGTTAAATCCAGGATCTAAAAACTTGGAGACTTTTTAAGAAAGCAAACTTAGCGTATTTACTTTCTACATGCCTCTGTGCTGTACATAATAGACTATGCATTAGGCAGTGAATTTGTATCAGAGGGCTTGGCCCTGTAGACTCTGCAGTTGTTGTTTCTTGGTTCCCATTTCTCCCTTCCTTAAATAAAATTTTTAAAATAGGTCATTAATCTTTTGCTTGGTTTCTCAAGCCAATTGAGATTTAGGGGAGGGGCTTTTTTTGCTTTTCTCCATAGTGTATTTATGGAGTGTTTGTCCAATCGAGAGGTGTGGGTTTTGTTTCTGTTTATGAGATGGGATTATTTTTAGTTTCTTCTGAAGTTGTTCGGTTTTCCCAAATTAGAATCTTTTTAAAGAGTGTATCTGTTGAAATCATGGTCTCGAAAATGGCCCTGATATGATACTCTGCCACCCTGGGAAAGAAAACAAAGAAGTCGGAAGCCAAAAAAGTGTTTCATATGCTGGACTGAGAATTACGCTTTCTGCTAACTTAAGAAATTAATGTGCACGTGTAAAACTCAAACTGAATATCCATGTTTCTTTGTGCATAAAAATGCCAAGTTCACAGTTTTATTTCCTGGCTGTCTTCACTGCAGAATTAGCTCCTTTTAGCATTAGCCACTCTTCTGGTAATACTCGAGCTGCACAGAGGGCTTATGTTGGCACAGATCACTTCCTGCTAACTTGAGTGGTAATGTCCTTAGAAGCCAGCCAGCTCAACGTTAATGGTTTTCACATCCAGACTGTCTATCTCGTACAGTTACACTGGTGATCCACTGCTGGTCTGAACAACGATGTTAGCAGGCTGCGGTAGCCTTCATCACTGGCGCTCCCCTCCTGTCCTCGCTCCTGTGTTTGGTTTTGGGTCTGGAGCACATCCTTGGGGTTTTGTACAGTTTTTCCCTGTTTGTGCCAGTTTTGGGAAAACCTGTTTTCTTTTTAGCCCTGTTTGTGCCAGTTTTGGGAAAACCTGGCTTTTTAAAACCTTTCTTTTTAAGGAGAATTATGGGAAGGACTTTGGGGGACTTCTAACACTGTTCTGGTGTGGCTACCACAAACCAAGTAACACCGAGCCCAGTTGCAGTGGGACCAGCACTGTAACCATTGCCCATAGGAGCAGGAGCTGGTCCAGGCATACCTGGGCTGGAAGAAGGTGTCTAGCAGATAAAACCTGGTTAGCTGTGCAGTGTAGACGGAGAACAATCAAGTTATAATTTGAATTAACTCCTCAGGGAGGATGGGCCCTTCAGCTTTGATGGTACGTTGAGCAACCTGATGGAGTTAGGGTGGCTAACAAGGTTTCGAGTTGCTTTGCCTGGCAGAACCAGACCAGATGGACAACGGCTAGACTGTTCCAGCGGCCTGAAATCACACAGCAAAGACAAAGCTCCTGTAATGAGAAAAATTAAAGGATACATCTGTAACTGTAGTGTTTGGTCTTGAGTGCTAGTCACTCATGCCATGAGTCTAGGGTGTTGATTCCCACATAGGCTACATGGTGTTGTGTACCCACTTTTTCATGCGTTCAACGAGGGGAGGTGTCACTGTACAATGCACGTGGTAGAGGAGAAGTGGGATCTGGAGTCCTTCCAAATACTTGTTCATTTGCTTTCCTTAGAGTAATTTAATTTATAATTCTGTCCTTTAAGTACTTAGATGCCTCTCCAGACATGTATGTATGACAATCGAGAATGAGTAGACATGGAGAAAGGGAATTTGGCCAGCTTTAAAAACACAAGCCTATGAAAGGTTGTACAGTATATTAAAGTAAAAACCAAGAATGCAGCAGACTGAGAAAATGGGAAGGGGAAAGCGTATTTGAAGTCTTAACAGTGACAAGGAGTTATGTACAAATCTATCCAAGAAAACGATTTAGTTCTCCATCAGCTTTTCCTTTTAATTCTGCCGCTAAATGAGTCTTATCTACTGCTTGAGGAAATGCCTATTTTCTTGCAAAACACATCTCTCAACTGGAGGCTTGCAGCACATGTAGCACTGTAAAAATGATCCTCAATGGAAACCAGCTGAGCTATGGAAAGATTCCTCTGAACTTTCACTCCAAAGTAAATTGTCCTTAATTTGTAGAGAATGCTTTCCTTAGTTCTTGCTGGTACTGAAAACTGGTCTTGGGTTACTGCAAAATGCGGTATTTTTTGTAATATGCATGATTCCAGTCAAGCAGTCAGGCCCACCCTTTGGCCATGAGAGTTTCAGCTGGGCTTTGCATAAGTACAAAGGCAGAGGTAACTTCTTTGGGACCTAATGGCTACTTCAGAGGTTAAACTAGACTGCAGTTGGTTTGCTGTCCATCTTGACGAGCACTGGAAGTAGCCATGAGCTTTTAAATGTGTCAAAAGGGAAATGATTTCCCTAGCTAGGGAGCTGCTTGCTTTGCTTGTTTGGCTAAAGTTTACTCTTCGTTACCTTTCATTTTTCTGATGCTGTGTGTTCTTTTAAATCTGGCCTGTGGTCAGATTAAATTGTGCCTGAAATACGTTTCGTAAATGAGAATACAGTCCTCTGGATTTGGAGATCCATTCTACTCTTAAGTGCACGATACTCCTTGTGATAGTAATAGGAGTTGCATGTGCAAATGCTTTTCTTTCCAGTAGTTAACTCTGTTTTCCATACGAGAGGCTTGCATTTAGATAGACTTCATATTTTGGATGTGTAAAAATGAATTCATCCATCAGTAGGATGTTTAAAATTAAATTTTGATAACTGTAACTAACACAATGGACATCTTTTACATGCTGATGTGTAATTTGACATCTACCAAGGTGATCAGCCTGAAATTCTTGTTAAAACTACGGTGTTCTATAGCCAGCCCATACGCTATCCTGTAGTCTATTTGCATTAACATCTCCGGTAGTGAGCAGTGTATTCATAATGAATTTAGTTGGGAAAATAGGGAATATTCCTATAAAGGAGGCATCTAACCCAATTTCTTTCTTTTTTCTTTTTTTTTTCCCCCCATGTACTCTTCATTTTGCTGTACGAGGTAACCGAGGACAAACATGTTGTTTTAAGGCCACTGGTGAGAAAACCCCTCAAAAATATACTTGTCCGTAACGGTTTCTTGTTGAGACATTCTTGGATTGCACTTTTGCAGATGGAAGAATATGTACATAGCAAATGAATGTTGATGAAATTAAAATAATTGGTTATGATATCATTTGCGTGTGTTGTTAGAGAATATTTTGTTGTGACTTCTCTGTATTAAAAAGTAATAAATACCAGACAGCTAACGGTGTGGGTTCTTCTTTCCCCCTTCTTCTCTTGACTAGTTTCTTACACCTGCTCTTTTATAGAGAGACTTACTCTAGTCACCTTAAGTATTAAAGGGCACAGTGAAAACAGGTTTTCAGTGTCAATTAAAATGAAGCTTTGATGTAGTCATTTTGAAGACTGCTATACTAAAAAGGGGTGTGGGGTGTGATGTGTCCCCTTGCAAAAGAGAAGTCCTGTTCACTTCGTTGACATTGGAAATGCTCCTCCTGCAGTGTAGCGTGTCCTGCGGGAGCTGTTTTGGGAACGCCTGGGTGCTGCGCCGGCAGTTGCCAGTGGGGATGAATAGAGGACAGAGTGCGGAATCCTTCACTTCTGGTTGAGTCTGTTAATAGAAATATGCCCTCTGGTGCCTAAGAAATATCAGAAGGGCTTCTGTAGGGGAGGGTGCAGTACGGTAGCACTAGGCAAAAGGGTCTCCCATGTTACGACTGAACACTTCATCTCTGAAACCCTGTTGCAGGGGAGGGAGCCTCAAATCCTTGCTTCCTGCGTAAGGTTCTTAGCAGTCTGGCTAATCATCTAATCATGTATTTTAGCAAACCTTGCTCCATGTGCTTACAGCATGATTTTTCAGCCTTTGCATATTACCACAGAGAAGTTCAGGAAGGATGTAAATGATCAAGGCAATCCGGACTTAGAAAAAGTAAAGCACATACTGCCGCGGGGGAAGGAGGGCCACGGCTCAAGAGAGATGAGGTGTGATTTGGAGATTGGAAACACTCTTTAAACAGCCAGCCGTAGCTGTTCAGGTTTAATTTTGGAAGTAGATACTGTGGCTGGCTGGAATAACCTTCAAGCTGAAAACCTGTGTTGTGTTAATTGTGGAAAGCACTCTGGATAGCTGCCTTTTAAAATACAAAGATCTGTGTATGAGGTGGAAATGTAAATAAGCTACGATCAAGTAATTGCAGGTGAACGCAGTGATTCCATACTGATGTCTTGCTGAAGGGATTTGGTTTAAGCCTTAAGCCTATGGGGGAAAAGTAAATGAGAACTAGTATTTCGGGGAGACTCTTCCCCTAGCTTAATTACTGCAGTGTTTACCACTTTTTTTGGAGGCATATGGTACTGAGCACTAAACTGCAGAACTTACGGTTTGATCTGCTGCAGTAATTACTGTGTTGCTAAAAGAAACTGAGTAGCATTGTGAGAATGTGGAGGAAGGAAAAAGTCACTGAAAAGCTTTTCAAGCTGTTACCTGATGTAGTATGTAGTTAAAATAGGGGTGGCACAGGCAAATTGGGTTAGGAGCATGCCTGGGCTCATGTTCCTGCTGGAGGCATCCCTGTTTGTATCAGAGGAGGGGAATGAACTAATCGGGCTGCATATGTGTGTGGGTGTGTGCACCTAAAAATACATCCAGGTTTCACACAGCTATATTAATATTTGATTTCTATTCTGGCAGTATTCTGTGAAACAACTTCTGTTCATTCTGATGCTAGTAAAACCTGGTCTTATAAAACAAAACCTGCTTTCCTGTTAAGGCTGCAGCTACTGTGCTTTGTCATTGACTTGGTACATGAGTATTTTTTGGCCTTAAATATGCATATTAGTCACTGGGTTTCCTGCACATTTGCTTTTCATTCACTGATGTCCAACCAACATCAATGGGATGTACAGAGAAACTACAGCGGCTGGTATAGCTCCTTAACCCACAGACTGCCTGATGCGATGCTCACGTGAGCAAAGCTTGCAGGGCCGAACTAGCCGTGGTGGCATCCAGGAGTAGCTCTCAAGCCGTGTTCCAAGAAGAAATTTGCTCCTTCCTCCCATGAAGAAAAATGTTTCCTTTTTTGTAATGTACCTGCCTGGAGTGCTGTATATTCAGGAGTTTACATCTGGCTCCATTACATAACGTAACCCTGAAGCTACTCCCTTTTGTTAAACATGCACTGCGCTTGTTTTCTTGTGAGAAAAACACGTGTGCAGATCACATCCATCTTACTGCTTCTGTGTCCCATTTTCCTGGCTACATACTCATTTAACAAGCATTTGAAAAAAATAAAAAGCTCCGGCAGGATCTTTTCAAAATAAAAATCTCCCTGGTTATCCAGATAGAGTTACAGAATGACAAATCAATGCTGCCTTTGTGTGATGCCTGCATGACTCTTACTGATACAAGAGTCATAACTGTGGAATGGAGTCTTTGGAGACAGAAGGTAATCCGGCCATAAAATCAAGGAGACTTAAATAATAATATTAATTGCCAATTTTCAAATACTTCCACCTTTTTTTTTTCTCTTTTCAGTGCCTCAGCTTCTAAATTAGTTTGGCTCCAACTTAACTAATACCTTGTTTGGAATGTCATTAATAGTAGGCTCAGTTTAATTGCCTGGGACTTGTTCTAAGAAACATCCCTGCTAGCCGATTACTTGTATAATGTTCGCAGATCTCCCGCTCCCCACATGACAAACTGATCCTTTTGTATTCGTATGTTTAGGAAGCATCATGCTATTGGCACAAGACACAAATACCAGTTGAGGATACTTGGCAGCGCTGAGCCGAGCTCTTCCTTTCCCGTGTCTTCTATAAGACCTGGAGGCAGACAGCCACCTCTGAGATCGGAGACAAGAGGAAGATAAAGAAACTGAATCAGAATCAAGGATCAACATTTCAATAATGAGGGAATATTTTCTTTAAAGCTTTGTTTAAATGATTGCTATGGTTACAAGCTCTGTAACCAAGATACTCCAGTTACACAAATAGTAGTTGAGTTTAGCCTGCTTTTTAATCTCAATTTTCTGCCAAAGAATATATTGAACTGCGTGGGAGTCTTTCCTTGCCATCGGGCAGCCTTTCCATTCGGTGCAGTCAGTGCTAGATTGGCTGGCCGGGCCGACGGCGGAAAGGGAGCAGGCTGCAGACCTTGGCGTACAGCCGGGGAGGACATGGGAACCGAATGGTGGGTAGCAAAATACCGCGTAAGCTGCAATTCACTGCTGAAGGCGGTGCAGCAGCCAGGTTGGTTGGAGCACAAGTCAAGTGCAGAGTAAGGGGCGTTTTCTGTCAAAAGGTTTTTCCTAATGTTTTTGTAAGCAGTCCTCACTTAAAAATTGGCAGTGTTTGTACCTTGTTGAATTTACCTTCCCGTGGCTCTGGCTGGAAGAGTCCCTGTTCCCCTGCTTTACCTCTTCCCTCCCACCCGTGCTGGCGCTGAAGGGATGCTTACGGCCCGGGGGGGCATGGACCTGGCTCCTTCCAGACCCACCGAGCTGGCTCTGCACCTCAGTGCTTGCAAGTACATGATGCAATGCGGAGAGGCTGAAGCTGGCCCTGGGGAGGGCCAGCATGGGTATGACTGAGCTGAATTATTTTGCCGCTGTGTTTTGCATCCCTCACCTGTAATATGCTTGTGACTTGCTTCTGAGGACTATTTATGTTAAAGTTTGCATGGAGAAGGAAGGAAAAAAGGAACACAGTTTAACTGCCCCTGCTGCCGCATGTTAATGGCATAATACCTGTTGGCCAGGGGAACATAAAGCACTGCGAGCTTGCTTTAGTTCCTTGCGCAAGGAGCCATGAGGCTCCTTGTTTCATTACTCACGTGCTGGAAGAAGATCAGCGGGGCTTACTGTTACTGCCGTGGTGTGACTGCTTAGTGTGAGGCATCGTGCCCGTGGAGGTGGAGCAGCTACGTGGCAGGCGGAGCGTGATCGCCCAGCCATCTTTCTGCTCTTTGGGAAGGTCCTAATAAAAGTAGCTTTCAGGAGCTGCCCGTCTGTGGCTGAAACAAATGAGAAAGGAGTAGCTCGCAGCAGAGCTGGGAAGCCAAGCCAGGATTTTGGCAACGTAGCTGTCCTCTGTCTCCTGAAGTCCGTGGAAATCGTGGTGTGCCTGTTTATGCCAGGAGAGGATTTGTACTAGTGCTTCGGTTTGTTAATTGCTGGACACCAGAAATTCAGAGTACAGGTATTGCTGAGAATAAGCACTGTATAAATTAGTCTAGTCATGTGTTTGGCGGATCTCTCATTAACAAGGAATTCTTAATAAGAATTACAATAGTCTTATTAATGAGGAATTACCCTCTAAATCCCTTTCACAGGAAGAAAAGAATCAGAAATCTGACTCGTACAGTAAGGTGAGGACATTTGACTGAAGGCATGAAAGAGGTGATGGGAGAATTAACATTTCACTTCCCTCTGGAGAGCGTACAGCAGAGCACTGTTGGAGGGAGGAGTGTCCTGACACAACAGACTGGGCAAAAGGCGGAATTCGCATTTTGGTGAAGACAGGGAGAGCTTCAATCAAGATGTTTGATGACTAGTTTAGTTTACTTGCAATAGAAACTTTGGCTTGGTTGAAACTGTTGTCAAGTACAAAGGGCTTACTTTGGTCTCTCTTTCTTGTCGTTACTGTCGCTAGAGCTGGTAGGAGTTAATACCTGTAGCACTGGCACAGTCCAATGCAAGAACGCCTTGAGAGGGGAGGGGAGTCTCTGGGTTGCACTCGGCTTTTGCCGAGGATTGTGTCTGCATGCCAGCACGCTCCTCTGCAGGGATGGCGATGTCACGGCCTCACTGGAGGTTTGTTATTTGTGTGGATTTTGGCATGCTCCGTGTCTGACCTTCTCTGATGAAAATGTGCTGGCAGGAGATCAGCGCTGGAGAGCCCAGCCCTGTTCTGCTCCTGGGCTGAGAGCATGGCTGCCCTGTCGTCCCTTCGCCGCTCAGCTGCCACCTCTGTGCAAACACACACCTACACCTAAAGCAGCTGGACTTTCCAGGCCAGATTATTATTGAATCCTCCCTCCCCCCTGCGCTCAGCTGCTGATTAGTAGAAACGTAGTTTTATGAGCCAAGCCAGAGAGAGTGGGCCAAATTTTAAAGTGAGTGTGTATAATCTCCAGAAAAAAATACTGTGTAACTGTGAACTCTCATTTTCTTTGATTGTTTTGACAGAGTTCAGGGCATGATAAACGTGCATGCGAGAACTTGCACTGGTTTAACTGCAGCAATTTGAAAATAGACAGGCATGAACAAGACCCAGAAACATCTGTATTGCACTTTTGAAAACCTGTAGCGTGGTAGTGAGGACCCCAAAAGAAGCCTGACTTTCCTCCATGGTACCGTCGCTCCCTCTGACTGCCGTAGGTGCACACTGCACCAGCACAGTGGAAGATATTTCAGACAGGCTTTTGAGTCCTGGAGTCAATAGTGCGAGGGCACAAACCATGTGAACTTCACCATAGTATCTTAACCTTGCCTCTGGCTTTTGGGACCAAGTAGCAGACACCCCACAAGTCTTAGCAGTTTAGTTAATCATCAGCTGTGACTGTGACTCTTAGCTAAGTTGTTTCAGCAGAAGTTTTTAAAACAAAAGTACATATCCAACAGACTTCAAAATGGTTGTCACACATTTATTGTTCAGACTATGCTGGTTGGAGTACCCCTGGGAGATGCCCTGTAGGGTACATTTCTGTTCAATATATTTACCAATGATCTGGATGCAGGAGTTGAATGCACCATTAGCAGGTTTGCTGATGATACCAAACTGGGAGGTGCTGTTGACTCTCTTGAGGGACGAGAGGCCTTGCAGAGGGATCTAGATAGAT